TTTTGGTTTTTGGTGTCAGATTCAAATAGTCATCTCCAAGACCAGTGCCAAGGAGCTTACCTTCTGTTTTCTTTTAGGAGTTTTTTGGTTTCAGGATGTACATTTAAGTCTTTAATCCATTTGAGTTAACCTTTGTGTATGGTGCAAGATAGGGGTCCAGTTTCGTTCTTTTGCACGTGACCGTCCAGTTTTCCCAACATCATTTATTGAAGACTGTCCTCTCCCCATTGTATATTCTTGGCTCCTTTGTCATAAATTGACCATATATGTATGTGGGGGGTTATTTCTGGATTCTCTGTTCTGTTCCATCTACCTATATCCAGTTTTCTTTTTCCAATACCACACTATTTTGACTACTACATAGATTGAAGTCAAGGAGCATCATGCCTCCAGCTTTTATTTTTCTTAAGATTGCTTTGTTTATTTGAGGTCTTTTGTGGTTCCATACAAATCGTAGGATTGTTCTATTTCTGTGGAAGTTGCCACTGGAATTTTGATAGGACTTGCATTAAATTTGTAGATTGCTTTGGGTAGTATGGACATTCTAACAATACTAATTTTTCCAATCCATGAACACACAATGTTTTTCCATTTATTTGCGTCATCTTCAGTTTCTTTCGTCAGTGTCTTACAGTTTTCAGTGTTCAGATCTTTCACTTCCTTGGTTACATTTATTCCTAGGTATTTTATTCTTTTTCATGCAATTGTAAATGGGATTATTTTCTTAATGTCTCTATCTGATAGTTTCTTATTAGTATATAGAAATGCAACAAATATTTGTGTATTGACTTTGTATCCCGCAACTTTACTGAATTTGTTTATTAGTTTTAACAGGTTTTTTTGGTAGAGTATTTGGGGGCTTCTATACATACTAGGATGACATTGCAAACAGTGACAGTTTTACTTTTCCTTTCCAATTTGAATAACTTATTCCTTGACTAATGCTCTTGAGCTTGTTGTCTTGAGTGAGACAATAATTAACAAAGGTCTGTAGGGGTTGTTGCACCCATGAAATAGAACTGCTCACCACAGTCTCCCACCCAGCCTGACTAGCGTATGAATTTGCAAGTACTGATTCAAAGTAGGATCAGACTGAGCAATTGATGAATTCAATATGAGAGCAGACTCGAGGTTTACTTAATTCAGAAGTGAATTCATAAAGAAGACATTTCTACTGTACAGCACAAGGGGACTCTATTTAATATCGTGTAATAACCTATAATAAAAAAGAATGTGAAAACAAATACATGTATGTATATGTATGACTGAAACATTATGCTGTACACTAGAAATTGACACAATACTGCCAACTGACTATACTCTCAATAAAAAAAGAAATTTTAAAAAGTGAATCGAGAAAGAAAAAACGTGAAGGAAGTTAGAAGAATCAAAGGAGACTGTGTCCTTACCCAGATTGCAATAATGAGAGCACTGAAGTTTCAGTTTCTTGTGGACAACTTTTATTCTTCCATCATAAGTGGATAAGTTCACTGTCAGAAAGGAGACCTTGCCTGCAAACCAGCTTGTGCCACCAGGTTGGCTGAGCTCGGCAGAGAACACCCCGTCAGAGCCTCCTCTGTAAAGTCTTCCTGGGGTCCATCCTGCTTCAGGTCAACTCTCATGGCCTCGGGAGTTTTTGCAAGGAGGAGGTTCATTTTTTTCTTCTTACTTACCCCCTCCCTTGCATAAAAAAATTCCATGCCACACCCAGTGTCACCATTCTTACGTTAAGGCAGATTTGCCTCTGCTCAGTTTGATACAGGAGCTCAGCATCTCAACTCTGTTATTAACAAAAAGGATTTGCAGAGTTGCTTGGAACGGATGGCATATACAAAGCACGTGGCTTGATTGAAAAATGGTTTTCCACATGTTTCCTTGTGTACATCCTTCAAGTTCATGGCCAGCCCCCATCACCACCTGAGAGTACTTAGTGCTCAGGGTAACTAAAAGGGAGAATAAATCTGCTTGCTTTGAACACAGCCCAGGGTTTAGCGTATGTTCCTGTGCTGGCCAAGGCTAGTCAGCTCTCTCCCCCTCCGCCCCTCTTTTGTGCTTGTAAATCAAGAGGCCCCGGTATTAGTCAACACAAAAGAGATAATTAGTAAGTACAAGCTGCTACCTTCATAGATCACCCTGTGCCTCAGTGTCAGGCTAAGCCAGGAGGCCAAAACAAGCAACATTGCACAAGTATGAGTCGCTTCAGCAGAACATTTCTTACGCAGGCTTATGAGTCTGAACATTTAAATCTAGATTCCGTACCGTCCCCAGCTATTGTAAGGATATCTGTTATTTGAGGCCAAAAGAGGAGGCTACTTAGCCATTTTATGAGGTTTTCCTTTCCTGGACTGAGATGCATCTTTGGAACCCCAAGGATTTGAACCAGCAGTGGTTTCTTAATGGAGTAGTCTTGGGATTCAGATGTAGTTAAATACCTTAACCCTCTTCACGGACGTGGTTGCAGAATAAGATTCCCCTTTTTTCCCACTGGGATATGCTGTGTACCCTCAGGAAGCCATGGCTTGTGCCTTTATCAGCCATTTGTCCAATTGGAAAACTCATTTCCTGCTTTGGCAGAGCACATGGGCAAGGGCATTGCTGCCCCAAGAAAAGAAAGACTGTGTCTAGTCCAACTAAATCGTCTAGGAACTTCCTTCCCGTGGACTGCTAACCAGATACCGCTGGCTTACAGAGAAGAGTTCCACTTGTATATTTATGACTTTGGAGCCGTTCAAATGCATGCTGGCTTGTATTTTTTCCATCACACAATGTTTCTTCCAATTTCTGAGTTTCTCATATCAACTGCTTTGCTATTTTTAAGCAGAACAATTTGAAGCCAATGTAGCTAATCAGAACAGTAAAACCTCACCAACTCAAGCAGGGAGCTTGCACTCTTTCAGTGAAGGAAAGACAGGCACTAAAAGCTGTTTCATCTTCTATAAGATAAGGATGTAGGATTATATAATCAGAGTCCTTTTCTACTATATTAAAACCACATTTCATCAAATCTAAGATGCCATTGATTATAAAAAGCATCAAGTTTCATGTACCGACAAGAAAAGAAAATTTTAAAAACTGCCACTGGTTAAATCATCCCCAAACTCCTTCAAAGCTATCCCTGCGATGCATGGATTGGCCACGTCAGCTTTGAAATCCATTCAGACAAATTTGGTGACCTCTCCTGCCCTCTAGTTGTGTTGTTTGGCATGAAACAGGCCAATTCTTTTGGATGATCTCAGTAACAAAATGTGACACCACTTTTCATCTCCTTGGGGGTGTCTTTCTTTCTAAGCAAATAAAGCATTTGCTTGGCTCCCTGCAAGAATATAGGAAATTGTTGACCTCCTTCTAATGATGAAAATTTGCTTCATTGCTATCAAATGTACATGCCACTGCTGTTTTTGAGACTTTCTATATATGCAGTAACTTTTCATTTCATTGCTGAATTGTCATGTAATATTTTCTAAGACATTTAACGGCAAACTCAGTGGCATAGTACCAAGAGTGGACACAACTCAATCAAAGTGGCGTGATGGACACCTGTGACTGTGTTTGCCATACTCAACAGCATCTGTGTCATGACTGCAGCTTGGCAGCTGAACTCTAGGACCACCCCCCCCAATCACCTATGCATCCTAATCTCAGCCATGTTAACGTGTAAAAAAACAGACATCTTAGAATTATGGATGTAGCTACAGTCTGTTGAGAACTTACTATATATCTTGCAGGGTACTAAACCCTTGGCAAGATTTAATGTCAACCGGACCTCACAGCAACCCAAGATGTATGTGCAGATAAGAAAATTTAACCAGGTTAACAAAATGGTTCCAGATCACACAGCTAGGTAAATTTCAGAGCAAGGATCTTGTCCAGACAATAGGCCCTCTGCCCACCAGCTCTGTGGTCCTATAGGCTGTATATCGTACCATGTGAACTTCCACTGCCAATGGCTGTTGGATTCTATCTGTAAGCATCTCTCCATATCGGCTCTCAAAGGGTTATTTAAAATAGCTCAAACATATGAGGTTTTCTGTAATAAATTTGTATCAAGGGTATGCTAATTTATAATTATTTTTATCTAAATGGCCACTTCTTAAAGGGCCTCACCCACAGGATTTCTGCCTTCACAATTGGGAAGCTGGGGTCGCTCTCTGTGGCTACTTCCTCACCACAGTGCAATGAGGGTAAATCAGCTGCATTTTCTGATCAAGACCTGAGCTGAGACAACTTGCCCAGTGGCAATGGAAGTGCACTCTCAGCAAAACATGGGCCTAGATCAAACCTTGGCCTCCTGGCCCTGAGGGCTGCTCTTTAACATGGATGGTGAGTGGATAGAGACAATTTTTTTTTTAAAAAAGACCATGATTGTGGTTTTACTCTCCCAATATTAGAAGACATGAATATTTTTAGTGCCCAGGAGCCCCCAGCCCTGGTCCTGGACACTCAGAGACCAGCCCAGAGGTAGAGAACAGAAGGCAGCAGGCCTGCCTCTGGAGAGTAGTGACACTGAGCAAACTCCTGTGGTTTGTAGTGAGGGCGATTCTGTTTCCATGGACAGTTAAATATGGAATCTGGGAGGAGCTCTGTGTTTATGTTCAGTGGTTTGGGAACTAAACCCAAAAGAAGGGACTTAGTGTGACTAAGGGCTATTGTGGTCAAAACAAACAACAGCAAGAAGGAATTGCCACATCCAAATAGTTGAAGACTGCCAGTCTCAAGCCCCTGCCCTGTAGACCCCCGTGATCACTCTCATTATCTGCATTCCAGGGGCCAGGGTAGAGTGTGCTTTAAGAGAAGGCAATAGGCATCTTTTAACAATCGTGTTCTCAAATCATTCATTCATTTGGTCGGCAAGTGTATCCTTAGTTACATCCATGTGAAACGAGGGGCTACGGGAGCCAGCAAATCAGCTTCCGAGGGTTGCGAGCACGTGTCCTTGGAGAGCACAGCCAACCCTGCGCAGAGCCCAGGCCTTCTCTGACCTCCCGCTGGTTTTGTTCCAGCTGTAAAGGTGCCTCCCACTACGGCCTGACCAAAGACAGGAAGAGGCGCTCCCAGGATGGCTGTCCAGACGGCTGTGCTAGCCTCACGGCAGCAGCTCTCTCCCCGGAGGTTTCTGCGGCTGCCACCGTCTCCTTAATGACGGACGAGCCCGGCCTGGACAACCCTGCCTACGTGTTCACAGCGGAGGACGGGCAGCCAGCAAGCAGCCCACTGGACTCTGGCCGGAGCAACCGAATGAGGGGTGAGTCAAGGGAGTGCTTGTCCGGGAATGGGCTCCTTTGGTCTTGGGATTGCCCTCTGTAGAACAGTCACAGTGGAAAGTTCTAGAAATGTTTTTTTAAGGGGAAATCGTTCTGGTAGTTTTGGCAGCAACCCAGCATCCAATTCTCCAAAGTGAAATGAAACCACGAGGACCTCGGGTGATTAAAAATGTGTGTAATCTGACTTGGTGAAAGGGGTGGAAGTTAGAGCTAATGATTCATCACTCCCGTGGTGGCCGTACCTTCCCATCCATGTGGCTCGGAGAAGAGCTGCTACATTCCATCCAGCCCAGGAAGCAAAGAAAAGCAGATTTTAAACTGAGGCCTCCATATTTCGTTGTAGAAAACTGAGAAAATATAGATTAGCAAATTCTATCACCCCACCGCCTAGAGGTAACCCCTGTTCCCATTTTACCATGCGTGTCTTACCAGCCGTGGACATGAGAGAGGACTTTCGTGGATGTGTAGCCACCCTTCCTCTCTTCTTTCTTGTCCTCAGCACGGCCCTTTGAGCGATCCACCATCAGAAGCAGATCTTTTAAAAAAATAAATCGAGCACTGAGTGTTCTTCGACGGACAAAGAGTGGAAGTACAGTGACCAATCAAGCTGACCAGGGCAGAGAACATTCTGAAAACATCACTGTCCCTGATGGTACGTGAGCTTCTCTGCAAGGCTGGGCTTCTGAAATGACTTCAGGGGTCATGACGACTGGAGCACCACCCTCTTTCTATGACACCTCTCTTCCCAAGGGCATACATATTTTCTACCTTAGTTAGCCTACTTCTTGCATACGTAACTAAAAGCAGAAATTATTGTTCTTTTTTTACACAGGTTGAGGGAAAAGGTTTTGGAAGCCTCACCTTCAGATGCTGGCTTAATGCATATAAAGAATAATAATTATAGTTGAAAGCATTTAGAACAGTAGTTCTGGCATGTAGTAAATGCTATGCAAGTATTCTTGTAGGACTACATGTGATGTGCGGTTCTGTTTTCCATGCATTAATTCATTTAATCCTCACAACAACCTTATGAGGTAGCTACTCGTATTATCCCTGTTTTACAGATGAGGAAACTGAGGCACTGGGAGGTTACTTAGTCTGCCCCAGATTGTCTTCCTAAACTTGGAATCCAGGTTATGTGTGCAAAGGAAGTTGTCGGATCTTAGATCCTGTATGTTTCCCCAACATAAATGGAGCTGAGGAAATACTGTCCTGTCCTTTTTTTAATCTTATCTTAGAACTTTACAGCAGTGATATTAATAGCTTAAAATTTTTTGGAGCTTTCCTGGGTACCAGGTAGCACTCAAAGTCATTTAGACATCACAACACTAAGGGAATAGGGATCATGATTCTCATTTTACAGAAGAAACTGAGACCCAGAGAGGCTGGGTTACTAGCCCGAAGTCACCCAGCTGGAAGATGGCAGACCTAGGATTTTAACTTGGGTCGTCTGGTTCCAGAGCCCACTCGTCTACCCACTGGATTAAGTGCCCTCCACTCCTTTGAGATTGGGGGGTAAATTCCAAACCACTGTCCTTATCATGCCCTTAGAGAACTTGTGAGCAGTCCTTTAAGGCCCCTTCTTATGTATATATCCCCTCCCACTCTGCACACACACACTACATCCTCTAACTACTCTGAACTTACTGCGGTCCTATAAATACTGTGTCTTTCTCTCACCTCCATGTTGTCCAACCTGTACTCTCATTCCCCTTCAGCTGGCATCCTAATTCCTCCTTCCAGGCTCAGCATCGGCTTTGTCTCCTTCTGAAAGCCCTCCCGGACTCCCTCAGACCGCTTTCCTTTGTGTTCTCAAAGCACCTGTATCTCTATTATAGCAATGCCACCTTTCATTGTAACTGTACCAGTGAGGGCAGGGGTTCTTTATCTGAGCCTTTGTGTTCCCAAGGCCAAGCACGTACCTGGCACATAATAGTCTTCTCTGAATGTTTCTGCAATGAATAAAAGGATTATAACTTCCTTTCTGCTGGTCTCCACTTCTTATTAAAGGATCTTTAATTTCATTTTATGTAAAATTTTCTCCACCTTAAATAAGATCGATTAGCATGTTTTTTTGCAGAAACTTTTAAGAGACTACTGTGTGTAAAGCATTGGACTAGGCTCTGTACTTTTTTTATTGGAGTATAGTTGAATTACCATATTACCATAGTGACTCAATGTTTTTATAGATTATACTCCATTTAAAGTTATTATAAAATATTGGCTATGTTCCCTGTGCTGTTCCCTTATGGCTTATTTGTTTTATACATAATAGTTTGTACCTCTTAATCCCCTTCCCATATCGTGTCCCTCCCCCTTTGCCTCTTCCCACTGGTAACCACTAGTTTGATCTCTATACCTGTGAATTTGTCTGTTTTGTTTTTATATTTTAGATCCCACATGTAAGTGATAACACACACTATTTGTCTTTTTCTGTCTGACTTATTTCACTAAGCACAATACCCTCCAGGTCAAATGGCAGAATTTCATTCTTTTCTTAAGGCTAAGGAGTCCTCCACTGCGTATACAGACCACATCATCTTTATCCATTCATCTGTTGATGGACACTTTAGGTTACTCCCATATCTTTGCTATCTTGGTAAATAATGCTGCTATGAACATTGGGGTGCATGTATCTTTTCAGATTAATGTCTTCATTTTCTTCGGATATACACTCAGGAATGGAATTGCTGGATCATATGGTAGTTCTGTTTTTAGTTATTTGAGCAACCATCATACTGTGTTCTATAGTGGCTGCACCAATTTACATTCCCTTTTCTCTATATCCTTGCCAACATTTGTTATCTGAAGACTTTTGGATGATAGCCACTCTGACATATGTGAGATGATTAGCAATGTTGAGCATCTTTTCATGTGCCTGTTGGCCATCTGTATATCTTCTTTGGAAAAATGCCTGTTCATGTCTTCTGCCCATTGTTTAATCAAGTTTTTTTTGATATTGAGCTGTATGAACTGTTTATATATTTAGGCTCTGTACTTTGTATAGGTTACAAAATCCAGTTCCTGGCTTCAAGGGGTTTATTGAAGACTGAAAGAAAATAAAATACCATGAAGAATGAGATATAAACCAACAGCAATGGGAGCCATAGGGAGAGAAGCGCCACTTCCAAGAGGGACAGTGTAATCCATTTTTAAGGAGTGGTTTATGGACCTGGATGGGCATTGGGATCTTGACTGTGTGTTGGAAAGTAATGAGAGATGAGGTTAAGGCCAGATTAGAAGGGCCCTGGATCCCATTTAGGAGTCTTGACTTGGGACAGTGAGCACACCTGGAAGCTTTTGCATAGAGTTGGAGCAGGATCACAGCTATGCTTCAGGAAGACAAAGATGGCAGCTATGTTCTCTGTGCAGTGGGCTTCGAGTGGGAGAAAACAGATTTGCTCAGGCACTCTAGGAAGCTATTACTCCACAATGGGGTGAGACGTTAATGTAGTGATGTCTTCACAGGATTTCTGAGGCAACAAATTTTCAAAATGGCCCTAGGGTCTCATTGCTCCAGTAACCTGTGGTTAGTCTGGCGAACTCTCATGGCATGGTTTACCCATTCTTCTCATATCGGTGAAGAGCCTGGCTTCACTGTATCAGCTGTGTGTCTTGGCCGGGTTACTGGACTTCTCTAAGAGTTAGTATTTCATCATCGAAAAAAACAGGAATAATAATAATCTAGTTCAAAAGGTTGTTGTGAGGACTAAACAAACAAAAAAAATGCATGCAAATTGCTTAGCTCAATGGCCAGCATATAATAAACATTTCATAACTGATAATATTACATCTTTTAGTCCTTAGGTAAGGACACAATATTGAACAGCTGTTTCTTTCCAGACCAGCACCAGTTTGGCAGTTTAAAAATGACTTTAACTCTTCAAGGTCCCTAGGGTTTCGTTGGTGTGACTCTAATTAACATCATTTCCAAGTGTGACCGGGTATGACCTTTCAGACTGTCAATTCAGCTGTCCTTGAGTGGTTTAGATTTGGGAGCATGGTTTTTGTAAATCGGTTGGGAGAATGAGTAGAAAGGGAGGGGGAGGAGAGAGAAAATCAGCAGCTTTGCTAATTCTTTCCAAGTCTTTCTTTGCTCAAAATGATTTTTTAAAGAACTTCCATTCCCTTGTCACCAGACCTGTTCCAACAAATGCTTGTGGGTAGAGCCCACTTAATGTAATCAACATAGTTTAAACATTAATTGAACTCAATCACCCAAGTACTGTTAGCACCAGGAACTGACAGATTAAGACTGCTGCCCACAGATGTGCAGCAAAACCCAATTGCTTACATTAAATTAAATCCCAGTGGGGGTTAAAGACCCACATTTGCAACCTCTCAGCCTTCCTCTGGTCGCTAAATTGCTTTGTTTATCATGATCCACAATACTTAGAAATGATCTTCATCCTTTCTGTATTGTTCTTGGAGAGCTGAGTACTTGTTAATGAACTCATAGTTCATTAGGGAAAATGGACTAAGGTCATGGGTTTTGAAAACAACCACAAAGAATGTTTTATGTAGAACCAGACCTGCAGTTTTGATCTTTCCAGATGACATAATTAAGGGAGGGTCTTAGGGCGGAGGCAGCTGTCATCAGCTACAGGAGACAAAAGCATCTCTGCCCTCGGCATCCAAACTCAA